CTAGCTCCTTTATTTTTGTATATGTTTGATGTTTTTTCATGAATGAAAAGTTTTTAGAAAAGTGACTCATCTCTTTACCTAACAAATTTACTTAAAGAGGATATTTTAGAAATGAAAAACCAGTATCACATACCCATAGTGGAAAATAGACTATAAAATAAATTTGATGAAAGCAAAGCTATTATTAAATTCTCATTGTCCAAGCTTCTGAATCCAAAGTCCTTTTTTTCATTATTGAAATCAAGTGCTAAGAGATGTTGTTCAAGACATTTCAAGAAAATCAAGGGTATGGAGATTTACTTTTGGAAGCAACTTAATGGCTAGGAAGAAAATTGACTGAGAAAGGGAATACTTTCTCACTTATATGACCACACACTCCAGTGTTATTCAATGCTGTCTCTGCCTGGGTACCATCTAAAAGTTTCTGGAAAGTACCACTAGCATTCCAAGGAACACCACTTTGAGAAAAAAAATGGTATAATATCATTGGTTTTTAAAACTGGTCAGAATAATTACATAGAGCACACTCTTCAGGCACTAACTATGTTCTCTGGTCTTTAACCTCTTCCTTGAGTCTACTCAGCTCTTTTTCAGTGTGACATCATTGCACATACCGAATCTTCTCACCACTCTAAGACTCAGCTTCCAAATCTGCAAAATTCAGACAGTGGTGGTTCATTGCTCATAGAGTTGTTGCAGGGATTAAATGAGGTAATTGTATATCAGAGGTTTAGCACAAGTGGTGACTATAACAACATTAGGTATAGTGACATATACCTGATAAGCACAACTATTATTATTATTATCTGGAACAGCAGTGAATGTATTTGTCTTGTAGACCCTTGAGAACTGTGCAGCCAGGGGAAAAAAGTATTCCTGGTTTATCTGTGTTAGTCCAGGGCCATTGGAAGCAGTGTATATCTATGTACTAGTAGAGAAATGGACAATTAACTGCAAAGGTGGGATTCAGGTTAGACACGAGGTGGGACTTTCAAGGAGTAAGGATTAGTAAACCCCAGTAGTGCAATCATTTTTTCCTCCCCAAAAGTTTATATGAAGAAATACAGAATCTTGTAATTTGAATAGTTTAGCACAAAATTTAAAGGCTCAAGGACAGATGAATTGGTCTTATTGTCATATTTCCCAGTATCTTCCCAATTATTTGAATCATTCACTGCTCATGGGACACCTGGAAATGGGTACAGACTGTCAAATACCCTAATGTCCCTTGGTGCTGGTGGATAATGATCAGTTTCTATACTCAGAGAAGTCATGGGCACAGAGAGAGTAAGGATTTTCCCCAAGGTAACACAGTAACCTCAGTGAGGTAGGATTTGAACTGCTTTAGGATGAGGGGTAGCTATGCCTCTGAGCTGGAGGTGCTGCCTCCTTGGATCACTAGGAGGAAAGATGCTAAGAATCTCTTTAGCTCATGATCTGAGTGCCTGGATTTGCAACTCCTAGAATCGGTGCTCCCTGGTCTCCCCTCCTTCTAATGAAAGAACAATACCAATCAAGCAACTAAGCCTCCTCTGGACGTGGATGGCAGATTGATTTTATCTGGAATGCCATCTTCAGCCAATTAGGGGTAGCTCTTTAAAGAATGTGTTGAGAAGGATTTTTAGGTCTTTTCCCAGCTAGAGTGCTGTGATGGACTGGTGGACGGTTGCTGATGGATGGTGGCCACCAGCAGACCACAGAGGACAGGCAACAATTGCGTGACATGTTTGTATTCATAACCAGCATATGGATAGGTCGCAATTTATGAGGTGGACTGTTTGCACCTGGGAAAACAGAGCAATTCCCTGAGGGAATGAGAACAAGATGGTTATATTTTGATCAACTGATAGAACAAGGGCTCATGTCATATTGGAAAAGCCAGACCTACAGCCTAAGTCACATGCAACACAATTGCTGTCTCTCTCTCTCTCTCTCTGCTATGCTGGTGGCAAATATCACTAACCCATCGTAGCAGTCTTTCTGGGACAGGACTTCATAATCTTTTTCAACACATTCTTTAGGTAGCCACTACTGATTGGTTGGCTTTCACATCCCAGACTTGATAAGGTGAAAAGGAGACAGATGTTAGGCAGTGGGGCCCCAGAAGGTGACTTAGACTGTGTGCTCCTTCAGGGAACGGTCCATGCCTTGTTTATCATTGAACCCTCCATGCCCAGGATTGTTCCCAATCAAGTAGAGGGATTGATGAGTGATTATTGAACCAAATAAGGACTGAAGATGCCAACAGCTGATGATTCCAACAACAGCAGCAATAATACTACCATTTAATGGGCATGTGCTATGAATTGGACACCATGCTAAATCCTTTATAGGGAATATTTTATCTGATCCTCACCACCACCATAAGAAATGTGCATTAATATCTCCATTTAAAAAAAAAAACTTTATTTATTTGACAGGGAGAGAGAGAGAGAGATCACAAGTAGGCAGAGAGAGAGTGGGAAGCAGGTTCCCCGCTGAGCAGACAGCCCGACACGGGGCTTGATCCCAAGACCCCGAGATCATGATCTGAGCCGAAGGCAGAGGCTCAACCCACTGAGCCACCCAGGTGCCCCTAATATCTCCATTTCATAGATGGGGAAGCTGAGGCAGAGATTTGTAACTAACCCAAGGCCATGCAGCTCAAAAGTGGCAGAGCTGGGCTTCATACCCTAGTTCTGTCTGACTCTAGAGGCTCTGCTCTTAACAAAGCAAATGATGTCTCCCTTTTAAAATTTATTTTTATTTTTTATTTTTTTAACTTCCTTTTTTAGTAAACTATGTTTACGGAAACTTAAGTACATACATAATCTGTGCCATGATCATATAGTTAGGAAAGGGCAGAGCCAGGATTTGAACCCCAGTAGCCTGGCTTTGACACCTGGAATATCACCCAAGATTCCCCATTTAGAAGCCTCACCACCACGACTCTCTACATGGTTCATTGGTATCTGGTAGTTTTTACACAGTTCCACCTGGGAATGCCTGGTATCCCAAGGACCCCCACTCCCCCAAGCAAAAACAGAAACCATTTTTCCCAAACATCCTTTGATCCCTACAGAGTCACCTTGCATTAAGTCACTTGGCCATCCCACACCTCACCTTCCTCACCTTTAAAAGGGAGTAGGAGCAGCTACCCCCTCCTACCTCTTGCTAAGGTTCCAGGGTCAAAAGAGGCAATGTTATGCAAATGAAACTTTATCAACATTCTGGAAACTTAGAACAGGAACAGGCTGAGAGGTGTTGATTGATCTTGTGGGGGTAGGATCCCTGCTATATCTCCCCTGCTAGTGACTCAGTTCAGACCCCAAATGTCATGCCTGAAGATGGTTTTAAATATCCCAGGGTACTTAAGGGGCCAGCTCTCAATGGCATTTAAGATGATAGTTTCTGTGGGCAGCTGGGCCTGAGAGTGAAAGAGGGGAATTTGGGCTGGAGGATAGGAAGAAGACAGGTAGAACTTACTCTCTACTTTCCTCCTCCTCCCAGGCCCCAGCCCAACCCACCTCTGGCTGCGGCAACCCACTTTAAGAAACCGGCAAATGCGTCTCTAGTTGTCGACCAGAAGGGGTCACTGCAGAGCGAGCAGCGCTCTCGGTCACTCTTCATAAGCGGGCACACAAATATCCAAATAAACACATATCCAAAGCTACATACATTTCTAGATCCATATATCCATACTCTTGTTTCTCCGGGGTTTTTTCTTCCTTCTCCTCCCCCATCTTATCTGCCTTACTTCTCCCCCTTTCTCCCATGCCCCTCCTGTCCCTTTCAAAGAATTTTTGAAGTTCACCTTGGTACCCAGGTCTCTTGGTCTCTGTCGCTATCAGCATCAGCAAGAAGCGTGGGTTTATTCTGGCTGTGGCCCAGACCTGATGCTAGGTGCTTGGAGGCCGTTAAGAGTTGGCAAGGCCTCCTTCTAGCAACCTGCAACCTGGGGAGTGGGAGTAGTAACTCTTTGGAGATTAAAGGACTCCAAGTGAGGGATGCGGGGAGGGGTCCTGCTACTGTCTCTTTTTCTTAATGAAAACCCTGGGGGTGAAACCAGAGAAAGTCTGCCCAGACTCTGTGCCTCAAAGGGCTTATTTGTGATTGTGAACTCTCACTTTCTGGGATTAGGATTGAAGTGGGTGGGGGTAGAAGATGAGGAGAGAGACCTAAAAGTATCTATCCACCTGTAATCCTGATTTCCCCTCCTTAAATCCCTCTCCCTAAGCTTTACTTTTCCAAAAGGGACTCCTCTCCTGAGACAAGCTATGTTCATTTCTTAACCACTTTTCTGTAGTTGTGGCTGAATTCCCTAGGAGTGCAGGGGCTGGAGTGGGGGGGGGCACTCTTTCCTTTGGATGGGTTTGGCAGCGGGGACATTGGGCTGGCTGGCTGTGAGGCACAAAAGAAATCTTCCTTATAGCGCCGCAGGCACAGATGTAACGCTTCGCCCCTCTGCGGGCGGGGACCCGGCTTGGCAGATGGCGAAAAGCCGAGCTGGTGATGGATTGTCCATCAAATGGCACTTTCTGGGTAGTGGGAATCTCGTAGCGCCCAGGCACAAAGAGGAATGCAAGGGACCCCCTTTGCTGCCTAGGCAGTCCCTCCCAGAAGTGAGGCGATCGGGTTGGCTTGGGTGGGTAGGTTAAGTTTTTGTTTTTTTTTTTAACCCCCTCCCCCCAAGATCTGCTACAAGACTTGAGAAAGGAAGGGGCTGAGAAGGGAGGGGGCCAGGCCCAGAGAGCGCGCAAGAAGAGATAGGGGAAGGGGTAGAGGCCTGCTACCGCTGGGGAGGAGAGCAGGCTGGGAAGCAGGATCTCCTGCCTGTTTCAGTTCGGGGTGCCAGGATTGCTTCTCTGAGGGGTCAGCACTGCAACTCCGTCGCCTCGGGGCCCTGGTGACAGGCACTTGCCCCGCCCTTTCTCCTCCCAGGACCTGCGGGCTTTTGTTATGCAGATGGCGGCTGTGCCGGAGGAGGAGGGAGTTGGTGGGGGGGAGGAGAGACCGAGAGGGGGGAGGAAAGTGCAGCTCGCGCGACCAGCCTCCTCTTCCAACGTCACATTGTGCGAGAGACAAAACCCGGGCGCGCCTGAGCTCACACGCGCACGCACACACAGACGACCCCATCGCCGCTTCTCTCCTGGCGCTGCCGAGAAAGCCAGCCCTCCCTTCCCTTCCTGGGGCGCGGAGGCTCCGCAAGCTCAGAGCTCAGCCCGAGACAGCACAGAAGGCAAAGAAAGACGGTGGATCAGCCTTCTTCCTCCCCTGCCTGACCGGGCTGAGGCATCCCATCCCCCGCCCTGAACCCCCGATCTCTCCCACCCCACCCCTCTGGGTTTCACACGGACTGAGCCCAGAGCCGGGTGTGCCCCCATTTGGAATCCACGTTTCAGCACTTTGGACAGCGCCCGGGCGCCCCGGGTCCCTTCGTGTTGGCTATGGCGAGCGTTCAGCAAGGCGAGAAGCAGCTTTTCGAGAAGTTCTGGCGAGGAACCTTTAAAGCTGTGGCCACCCCGCGTCCCGAAAGCATCATTGTCGCCAGTATCACGGCCCGCAAGCCGCTGCCAAGGTAATGACCTCCGTTTTAGCAGTTGAGACCCTGATGGTCCTTCTTTCCTGGCCTGTGTGCCCCAGAGTCCTGAGGGGTGGATGCAGGCGGCTGGGCCAGGGCGCCTGTCTTTTGCCCATCACTACTCGGTGTCTCCCGCTGGAACATGGGAACTGATTGCCTGTGTGAGGTGGAAGCTGGTGAGAACGGACAGGGAGTCTTTAGGGGGAGCAACACTCAATGGTCTGCTGCCCTGGCAGCTGCTGTTCCGGAGGTTTTGCTTTCTTTGGTGGGCAGTGTAGATGAGATAGGACTTGACTAAGAAACTTTTCTCTTCTCGGTATTAGAGCTCAGAGGACGGGGGGCAAAGGAATGGTGGAATTGGGGTAGTTGGGGTGTTGTACAAGAAGAGAAGATGAGGGTTGAACCAGCTCAAGCAGTGTTTAGAGGTAAACGGCACATTTCTATACTCAGCTCAGAAACTAACGAGCTCTGAGCATTTTGACAAAAGCCCATATGCTGTTCCCTCAAATACACCCTAAACAGCACCCTCCTCCACGCCTTTCTGGCTGCCACTGCTGCTGAATTCTCTCTTCTCCAGCATCCAAAACCAGTACTCTGAGCTCAAGAGTCAGGGAGGAGCCTTCCAAGATCGTGAAGATGATCTGGGAAGAGTTTTGTTTGGTTTTTCAACAAGGATCTGATTGCTTTGAACTCAAGGATGAGAACAGACCCGTAGATGGTGAAAATAGTGGGATGGGGAGAATAAGGGAAGGAAAGAAAGAAAGGCAGAAAGGAGGAGAAGAGGAGGTGGGGTGGAATGGAGAGGAGGCTGGGGAGAACATTCCAAGACAGAGAAAACCCAATTCTTTTCATAAAGTATTCTATTTAGAGGAGTTTGAGAATGAAAGGAAGAAGGCTGTGCCCTCTGTCAGGGAAAATCAAGGCAGTATGAAAACTCATCTTTCGCTGGTGTTGGATGAGTGGTTCAGTGGGAGAAAAAGAACGAAGTGGACCAGGGGAGACCACTTGGAGGATTTATTAATCCTGGCAGGCTCTGTTAGAGAGTAGATCGAAAACATGTCTGTGAAAGTGTTTCATACAGGATGCCTGTTCAGGACCCACGGGATCTGAACTTTCCTGCGGTTGTGGGGTGGGTGGCAGTGAATCCTATGTACAGAATCAAACTCAGGCTGGAGAACTTTTCAGAGTCTGATAGGAGCGTAGCTCATACAGGTCTTTAGAGAGATGGGTACCCCATGTTGGGAATGGGTGTCCTAGAAGCAGGATGTGGTAGGCTTCAAGCAGCAGCAGCAGTAGCAGCCAGTATTTGCAGATGGGAGGGAGGGGACACCTTGTGACATAGGCTGGAGAAGGGGACTAAGAACACCAAATGCCGTCCAAGACTGATGTTTCTCTGCTTGGGAAAAGGTTCTTTGTAGAGAGTTTTGACGTCAGCAGTTCTGTCTTCCTGGGTTTCAGCCATCCATTCCGCCTTTGGAGTGCACCTACTGTTGGCAAATCAGGGGCTATGTAGGCCAAAGAATATGCCCTTGTAGTGGAAACTAAAGATAATTTCATTGAAAATTACCTGTGTGACATTTGGTCCAGGGTCTGCCATGTATTTCATGGTTGCAGGAAGAGGAGAGCAGATTCCTGGTGGTTTTTGAATATAGAAAACGCCCTAAAGTCCACCTAACTTGGCATTTTTACCCTTTGCCTGTCTGTCCGTTACTGGCATGCCCTTTTCTTGGTCATATTCTCAATTATATGACTTGCCTGAAGTCTCCTAACCCTCAGGCTTTCTATAGCATGGTACAAATCTGAGCATAATGCTTCTGAAACTCTTTAACAATAGCCAGCCCTCCTCCCCCAGGTGTCATTTCCCTCTAGGTGTCTTTTTACCATCATGGGTCTCCTTACCCCTGGAAACCACTGCTGGGTGAAAGTCTGAGTCACAAGCCCCTAGTTTATGTCACGCTGGAAGGATCTTCTTCGATACTTCTGTAACAGGTGCAGACCCTCTGTAGAATAGATTCCAGTTTTATAGCTGTCATCCTGGTTTGGGGTGGGAAGTGAGCTGGGAGCATTTGTATTCAAGTCTTCAGGGAAGGCTGGGTTTGAGTCGTCTTTCAACAGACTGTAAAACCCAAATCATCCCCAGCCCCATCCAAGCCAGCCACATCCAGCGAGGTCAGTTTCCGCATCCTTTCTAATGTAGTAGGCTTACTTAACAGTGAAAGTACCATGTTGTCAGGGCTGAGTTCTCAGGAAGGAAAGGGATGCTGGCATAATATCAACTGAGCCCCAGTGGCTTCCTCTAGAGGCAGTCTAGGTACTTGGTCTCCTCAGAAATGTCATTTCGTTCCATGAGTCAAGACCAGCACATAGTCAGCAGATCTGTAGGGAGATGGGGGAGGGGTTGGACAAAACACCATCCAGTTCTGTTGGTTACACACTTAATACATGTTTCTAGATGAGGGCTACCCCTCCTCTGAATGAACTTCCCCAGGATATTTTAAGTGTATCTCAGAAGATAATTTAGTACCAGGAAAGAAGCTTATATTCAATTGGTTGATTTCATAGCACTATTCATATATCATACAATCACACTCCAAGCAAAACCTCCCCTCACCCCCCCACCTTCCTCTCCCCATCCATGAGGCATCCTTGATGAGGCAGTAGCTTTATGTGTATCAAATTGCAAGCAGATGTCTGACTCAAATGTCAGATCGGTATAGCAGAGTGGGAGGCAGTATATCATAGTGGTTAAGAGCTCAGACTTGAGTTTCAGACAGACCTGGATTCTTGTTCCGGCTCTAGCATTTAGCTGAGAGTCCTGAACAAGACGCTTTACCTACCTGAGCCTGTTTTATCAGCTTGAAATAGAAACAATAATAGTAGCCATCTCAGACATTGAATTATGAGGACTGAGTCAGGTAAAACACTTCCCACAGTGTGTGGTCCAGAGTGATTGCTTAATAGACATCGCTTCTGAAACAAACAGCTCAGTTGATAATGGCCAAAGGAAGTCAACACTTCCTTCCAGTATTGTGTTCTTCAGGCCTACCCATTTCTCCCCCAAATGATGCTGGCAGTAAACATCCTGGGATTTCAGCTAACAGGCCATGCATTGAGATGGAATTAACACACAGGAGGTGGGGTGAGAGTGGTCCCATCATTCTCCTCCCTGAGGGAAGCTTAGGGAATTTCTGATCAGACTTTTTTAGTTAGGGGGTGGGGGAGGGCTGGTGAAGAATTCCCTGGGTTCAGGATGGATTGCTGTAACAAACTCAGACTGCATTCTTTTCATTTGTGTAGAGATGACCAGGTACTGCCAGTCCGGAGAAGACTCAAACTCCTTGAAAATTAGTTTGAATCCCTAGTTCCATCAAACTTAGAGCGACTGTATAATTCATTATTCATATTGAGAGTGAAAGTCTCGCTGTGAGTCATTACTCCAGGATGGAAGATGTAACGGGGACTGTCCCTGGCCACCCGGGATGTAGGGTGGCCAAAGTGAAGCCTCAGCCTATAAGAACTGAAAGAGAGCATGAATCAGTAAGGTAGTTGGAGAGTAAGAGACTCCTCTCTTGTCCCCACCCAAGAAGTACAATCATTTTTCCTGGCTTTGATTAATTCTCTTTTTTTAATTGTTTGGTCCAGAAAAGTTTGTACGCAAAAAGTTTATGCTCAGAGTGAAGAACTTAAATGTCTGGGGCTAGACCCAACTGTAATAATCATATCACCAAATAGTAGCTAAGGACTTAATGAACATGTGAAAACCATTTGAAATTAGCATATCAATTGTTTGTGGATGCTGGAGTGTTTGTAAAGGGCTAGCAAGGCCGCCCTCTTAAATAGAATAAGCAATTCCCTTTACAATTCTTTTGGCAAGCTATTAATTTTCTTCGAAAAACCTCTCTATGCAGAATAGTCCAGAAGCAGACTTCAGCCCAGGTCTGTCCAAAGGATCATAAATTCCAAACTATTGGAGATTTTACTGCATAAAGGGAAAGATGGCGAAATTGTTAGGCAGGAGAAATGCCTTTGAACCATTTAATTCCAGACTCCCCTTTGTGCCAAGAGATCAGTTAGCACATTTGTGCTGACTCCGTCCTCAGGAGCAGAGTGAGGGGCAGCTGGGAGGTGATTTCCTGACAGCCTGTGGTTAAAAACCAAGGTACTGAGGGTCATGGAGAAAGCTTGCCCCTGTGATGAATGATCGTTTTTCTCTGGAAAGGGAGTGTTATTGTTTGGGTCAAACCTTTCTCCTTCTGAAAGGTGAAATTTGCTGAATGGTGTACAGGGGTCAGTGGGGGGCATTATTTCTGACACGGCTGTTTTCACTTGGCAACCGTGTTGTCTTAGAGACTCGGGCTGCAGTAGACGCTGAATGAAACTTGGATGCATTAATTGAATGAGTACACGCGGTCCAAATCCAGTGTCAGATTCGCTGTCTCCCAGTCCACCCCCATTCCTGACAGGCTAGGGATTCTTGATCAATGCCGCCTTAGAGGCACACACTCTGCAGATAGATTTGACTCACACTAGTGTCAGAATGAAGCTTTCGGGATATAGACGTCTGTCTGGCTGGGCGAGTAGACATGTCAGCTGGTGTGGGTACAGGAGATTGGATGAAATGCCCCCGGGAAGTGCTTTTCAGGGCTGTGTGAGCCTTGATGAACTCCATTCCCACTCCAGGCCTCCAGAAAAAGATGGGTGGGGGACACCCCTGAAAGCTTAACTCCTGTGATGAGGAAGGAAGCCTGGGTCATACGCTTCCTGCTCTTGTGAGCACCTCAGGCATGCTGCCAGGGCACAATACATTTTTAAAAATAGCCTTTCTTCTGGAGTGGCTGGATTTACCTTCCTGGGAGGTAGAAGGACTTGCAGGGGCTTAACAAAACCAGTGTTTTTAAATTGCTCATTAATAAGACTTTGAGGTGTGAGGGAACACTTCTGAGGGGGAGAAAGTGGAAAGGTGAAGAACTTAGACTCTGAAGTCAAATCTGGGCTCA